CAACAAAGTCTCCAATGGAGACGTTACTGGGCCCGCTGGAGCTGATCAACAGGAGGGCCTTTATTTTACTTTACTTACTTTACATCTTTTCTAACAGCTACATAGTACTCCATTGTGTAGATGTACCAAAGTTTCTTTAACCAGTCATCCATTCTTGGCACTCCGGTTTTTTCCAGATTCTGGCTATTGTAAAGAGTGCTGCAATGAACAAACAAGTACAGATGTCACTTCGACAATACTGTTTTGCCTCTCTGGCATATATTCCCAGGAGTGGTATTGCTGGGTCAAATGGGAGCTCAATTTCTAATTTTTTGAGAATCATCTATACTGTAAAAATAATGCTTTCTTCAGGTGGGTGTTCTGTCACTTTGTATTTCAATATCTGATTAGTAGGTGAAAAAACAGAAAAGTCAGGGTTTTTTTATGTTTTTGTTTTGTTTTGGGGCCTCACGCAACAGGGGACCACACTGTTTGGGAAATTGAACCCAGGACCCTCTGCATACACTCTAGCCCGGTGAGCTATCTCCTCAGCTCCGGTCAAACCTGTTAATCTCTCAGATAATTTTTGTTAATTTTTTACTGGCCTATGACTGACAGTTGTCTGGGTCTTAATCTCCAAACGTGTGTTTGGTTTCATGCTTCTGTCCGAGCACTGTGAACTCTCTGTCTGGAGACGTCCTTAGTTTAGTCATTGATGGAGTAAACATTTAGTTACTTCTTCCTGAATGCCAGACACTGGACTAGATGCTTGACATTTCTTGTTTCATCTTCATAATTAACCCGTAAGTAGTGTACCTTATTCTGCCTGCTTGCAGTGAAGAAATAAAATCTCAGAGAGATGCTGTCATCCGCCCCAGGTTATGCAGCTGTGACACAGGCCACAGAGTCCAGTCTCCCGCACTTCAGAAGTGCTAGTGCCCTTTTTCCTGTTTGATGATTCACAGTCTGTGTGCTTTGGAGATGGAGTTTGGTTTTTAAGTAACATTGAAGTACAGCCGGATGTAAGTTTCAGGTATGAGTGCTGAAATGGTGCCATTATTTACATGGCTAGTGCTCGACTACTGAACCACCTCCCACCCAGATGGGTCTTTTCAGTCAAGATAGGTTGAAGGTGGGCCCTAGAGAGTAGGGCTTTTGATTTGTATGAGGCTGACTCATGTTCACTGCCCATCTGGTCCCCTGAGTACAGCCGGGAGTGATCCTTGAGTGTAGAGCCAGGAGTTAAATCTTGAGCACCACCGGGTGTGACCCCAAAACAAAACAAACATGTAAAAATGATAGATTGAAGATACAGTGATCAGGAACAGGGTGTTTTCCCTCACCCCCCTTCATGCTCGTCATCAAACCCAGGTCATGTTTTTTTAGGCATTATGATTTGCAAAGCTGTTAATAACAGAGTTTCAACGTCTGACTCCAAACCCACCCCCAGTGTCAGCGTCCCTCCATTCCTGGTCATGATTTTCAGTGACCTTGTAGCCCAAAAATTTGCAGCCATTTCTTCACTCTCCAGAAAGCAGTCATTTGGATGGCAGGCTTAAGTTCCTCATTCTCTGGTCACTCCCCAATCAGGAATGAAGCTGGCACCTTGTTGGCGTTGGGCGTCTTTAGCCTTTGGGTTTAGCTAACTGTGGCTGCTTTCCAAGGAAAGAAAATTCGCAGCTGCGAGAAATTAGTGGCTACACAAGACCCACTTTAAGAAGCCGTGACTGGGTGTAGACAGTGAGATGGCATTTAAAGACTTACTGCTAATGGGAGGTGAAAAGTTGAAGCCCAAGTCCTGGGTTGCTGAAGCAGACAGATTTCTGAGATGCAGGCTCTGTGTCTAGTGCAGTGCTTTTATTTTTATTTTTATTTTCTTTTGTTTTTGGGCCACACCTAGTGGTACTTAGAGCTTATTCCTGGCTGGCAGGGCATTGGGGACCACATACAGTGCTGTAAATAGAACCCTGTTGGCTGTGTTGGATGCAAGTGGCCTACCTGTTACACTATGGCTCCAGCCCTGGGCAGTGTTTTTAAATGTGGCTGCCCATAACAGCCATTGTAGGCTTTTTAAAATGTAACCCTGTGCTCTCCACTGGACCTACTGAGTGAAACACTGACTGAGGGTCCCAAAGGAATGTGCCATTGAAAAGCTTCTGGATGGGCACTTGCCTTGCACATAGCTGACCTGAGTTCAATTTATAACATCCCATATCCCTGAGCACGGCCAGGAGTAATTTCTGAGCACTGAGCCAGGAGTAATCCCTGAGCAGTGCCAGTCCTGAGCAATGCAACAAACAAAAAATCCCCAAAAGCTCTCCTGGGAGATGCCCTCTGAAGATTCTGTGGAGGAGATGGTGATTGGGTGCTGCTCTCGGGAGAGCCCTGCACCCGTGGGTAAGGATGAGGACCACTGTCCTACAGCCTGCTGGAGAGTTGCCGCGTCAACTTACCATCATCAGTACGGGGACCAATAAAGAAGCACACTTGGAGACCATCAGAACTCCTAAAGACATTTTTGGATTTTGTTATGTTTTTATTGTTTTAAATTTTATTGCTTAATTGAATCATTGTGAATTAGAAAGTTTAATTAAATTAATAAGGTTAATTTATTATTATTCATGACTGAGTTCCAGGCGTACACCAGTCCTTTCATCAGTGTCCACTTCACTCCACCAATGTCTCTAATTTCCCTCCTTTCCTCCATGAGACAGGCTTTGTTTTTGTTTTTCCGTTTCCTTTTTAAGCAATGTGTTTTATAATACTGTGGCTTACAGGGTATAATCGTGCATATCACTTTACCTCCTCTCAGTACCCTATCTTCCTCCAGGATGACCACTTACTTCCCCTGCACCATTATCAGAGTTCTCTTCCTTGACATACTCCCCCGTCCCTCCTCTCATATGCAGGTTTCTTTATACCCTGCATATGAGAGAGATCATTTAGTGGAAGTCCCTTTTCTTCTGTTCCTTTTACTCCAAGTCCATCCATGTATCAGCAAATTGCATGATTTCATTTTTCCTTAAGGCTGAGTAGTATTGTTTATATGTACCCTAGTTTCTTTATCCTCTCATCAGTTTTGTTTTGTTTTGCTTTTTGAATCACACCCAGCGATGCACAGGGGTTACTCCTGGCTCTGCACTAAGGAATTACTCCTGGCTGTGCTCGGGGTACCATACAGGATGTTGGGAATTGAACCTGGGTCCGCTGCATGCAAGACAAATGCCCTACCTGCTGTGTTATTGCTGCAGCCCTCACTCATCTGTTCTTAAGACACTTGCGTTGTTTCTAAATTTTGGCAATTATGAATAGTACTGCAGTGAATTTAGGAGTGCAGATATCTTTTGTGCAGCGTGTTATTGGGGCCTCAGGGTATATCCCAAGAAGTGGAATTGCTGGTTGGTATGGAAGTTCAATTCCTAGTGTTTTTTTTGAATAACAGTCAATCTGTTTTCCAAAAAAGGCTGGACCAGTCAACATTTACCAGCAGTGAGTGTCCTGAGGGCATTTTTAATCTTGTCCTTTCTGTAATTGTTCACTGAAGTTAGATATTTTCTTGTCACAAGCCCTTTTCATTCCCTAAACTTAATGAGTTACTTTTTTTTTTTTGTTTTGTTTTTTGGGCCACACCTTGTGATGCTCAGGGTTTACTCCTGGTTCTGCACTCAGGGATCACTCCTGGTGGTGATCAGGGGACCATTTGGGATGCTGGGAATCGAACCCGGCTCTTCTGTGTGCAAGGCAAAGCCCCTACCCACTGTACTATCACTCTGGCCTAATGATGACAATGTTTCTTGATCTAGGAGATGATAGCTGTAGAAGTCGATCCATGGCAATTTAATCAACAGTTGATTCATTTCATATTTTAAGTAGACAGGTGCCTCATAGTGCTGCGGTGTACCCCCTGCCAGACATGACCAGTGGGCCCTGAGTGCGAGGTCCCCATCTCCTCCACCCTGTCAGTGTTTCAGACACCTGTCTCTCTGGCACCTGGAACATGGCCGTCTCGTGCTGCTTGTAGCCCAGGTCTTGTGGTGTCATGACTCCAGTGCTCGGGGTCTGCCTTCTCAGCAAGATGATCCCTCATCTCCCTCTGTCACAACACCCCTTTTGTTTCCACCACAGCATCTGTCACTATCTGAAATAAGTTTATTCGCGTGCCTGTTTGTCTCTCCCCCTCTGATGCCTGCTTCATGAGTGTGCGTTCCTGTCTGAGCTCATGGAGCAGTGGCTGGCTAATTCCCTGCTGGACCAGAGGAAGGATGCTTCGGGCTCTGCCCTCAGTGCAGGGCTGAGCTCAACTGTGCCTTATTGCTAGTAGCTTACAACAGTTGTGATTTCTAAAGTGAACCAGCCTTCAGTCTCAGGGTTTTTCTTAATCCATTGGAACTTTCCCTTTCTCGCAAGTTGTAGGTCCACAAGCCTGTGCTTGTTTGGAAATCCATATGCATACATATGCGTACATGGCGAAGGATTCCTTTGAATGGGAGTGAACGTCGGTGTCTCTCAGGTGATGGGCAGGTGCTGTGCCCTGAGTTCCTGAGCACGAAAGATGTTCTGAATTTGGAACAATTAGCCCTTTTTTTTTGTCTCTTTCGGGACAGATTAACTTTCTGTTTCGGGACAGATTAATTTGTTGGCAGAACTTTTGACTCTGAGACACTGTGGTCCTGCTTGGGCATTGGAGGACTGTGGGAGTTCCTGAGAGCATCAGGACCCTCGGGGGTTAGATAGGTACCCTCATGACCCCCTGGGAAACTCGGAAATGGCAACAGGTTCCCTGCCTAGAAAATGTCCACGAGTCTGTGCGTCGCGTTAGACCTGTAATTTTGGCGAGGGAGGGAGGCTAAGCATTTGCTGAATGCCCTCTGTGGACCCTAAACTCTATTTTGGGAATTTAGATTGGCGTGTCCACCTGTCATAGCTGGGTCCTAGCTCCTTCACGGCTATTTCTTTCTGACTTCGTCTCCTGTCTTCTGTGCCCTCTCTCGTTTTCGTAATTCCCTGCTGGACCCTCTCAGGCCCAGAAGAGGCGGTATTCTCCAGGAGTGCAGGTACTCAAGGCCAGCTTCTCCACCTTGGCCCTCCCGCATTCCCTGTGTCCATCAAACCTTTGCTACTGTTTGGAATCCATTTGGCTGTTGTCTCCAGAGTCCCTGGCCTCTAATTGCGACTGCATCTTCACCTTGCATGCTGACTGTGGGGGGCAGTGAGCAGCTCACATGAAAGGGGCATGTTTGTCTTCCCTCCGCCGCCTCTCAGCATTGCCTTTGCACTGGGCTTGGTCTGGAATGTTCAGCACATCCTTTCCAAGGAGAGGGCCTCTGAAGAACATGGAAGGGGGGTGGCAGGATGGGAGACTTTTTCCGTGGGACACTTTGCCCTGGGTGTTCTAGGGGTGTGCTCTGTGGATGGGTCTTCTGAGCAAACTTGGAGGTCTTTGAGGGGGCTGGTCAGCTGGAGAACACCCTCCTACAGCACAGGCCTGCTGCCCTCTCTGAGACCTGCTTTGTGTGCCAGTGGGATTGTGAGAGGCAGTTTTCTTGATGGAAAGATCCCCCCTGCCATGAAAAGGCATTTCAGAGTACCAGGGTGTGTAACACTTAACCTGAGGGCTAGGGGTTGTGTGGGGGAAGAAATGGAGCTAAGTGAAACGCTTCCAGGGAGAAGGAGCGTAACAATGACCTTTTTCCCCAAGAGCTTCATAGCAGATCTGCACATGGACCTAGAAGAAATCCACTCTCTTGTAGCAGTATCTGCTGCTAAGTGCTGATGTCTGGTGGCTTACAAGGCATGCAGCAGAGTGCAAGGGCGGCCGTTTCAGGCGCACCCCAGATAGTTAGGCAGGATGGCCCCTGAAGGCAGGTACAGAGATGAGCTGCCTCCCGGGCCCTGTCTGTGAGTGATCACGCGAGGGGGGCGGAGGGGCTGCTGCAGGCTGCTGTGAGCTGCTGTGAGGGCGGCAGCTTGTCTGTGCAGATTCCTGTGGCTTTTCTCCCGGCCTTCTGAGAGCACTGCCTCACTGCCTCTGCTTTTCCTTCCCTGCTTCCCAGAGGGTGTTCCCCTACATCTCAGCCATGGTGAACAATGGCTCCCTCAGCTATGACCATGAGCGGGATGGGCGGCCTACAGAGTTGGGGGGCTGTACAGCCATTGTCAGGAATCTCCACTATGACACCTTCCTTGTGATCCGCTATGTCAAGAGACATTTGACGGTGAGTTCAGGTTCCCGATGCGTTTGGTTGTCTAGGTTGTTCTTGTTTCTGCTCCTATGGCCTGGCCCTGATCTATTTCTTCTTTTCATTCTAGATAATGATGGACATTGATGGCAAGCATGAGTGGAGGGACTGCATTGAGATGCCAGGGGTTCGCCTGCCCCGGGGCTACTACTTTGGTGCCTCCTCCATCACTGGGGATCTCTCGGGTACTGCCACGTGCACCCTTTCTTTGCTGAGACACACAGGCCGTAGCTTCTCAGGGAAGAGGCCGAGGAGCAGAGCGTAGGGAAGCAAGTGCCCTGAGAAGGCTTACCGCTCTGCATTCTTCCTTGCAGATCCCCTCCCGCCTGGCCGGGCCTATGCCAGACCTGTTGTCTTCACAGGGAGCTAACGGGCAGCAGTGTTTGTGGCTCCCTCCAGCCCATGGCCATTCCAGTTGTGTTTTGAGCTCTGTACTTTCTTCTTTCTGAGGCCTCTTTCTACCCGCCACCTCTTCCTCTCTACTGCACTTACTTCCCCTTCTAACAGCTTTCCTGGACTCTAATCCATTTTGTGACTCTTCTTTGTGCTCTGACTTTCGTTTTGGGACTATACCTGGTGGTGCTCAGGGGTCACTGCTGGGAGGGCTCAAGGGACCATATAGGGTGCCAGGGATTGAACTTGGGTTGGCTGCACATGAGGCATAAAAAGGCTTGTACCCACAGAACTCTCTCCAGCGCCCAGTGTGCTGTGGCGTTTTGTTATGAGGAAGGGCCCTCTCGGCATTGTTGCAGTGGGGGACACCTTCCGGCCCAGTGCTCAGGAGCCACTCCAGCTGGTGCATGGGGGACCATGTAGTGCTGGGGGCTAAGCTGGGGATTGAGCCTGGGGCTCCTGTGTGCCCAGCCCTTTGAGGTGTCTCCTAGCCCCTGCTCAGCCTCTGGATTGCACCGTGTACAGATTCTTCTGCTTTCTGCTCTCTGCTCTTTACCAGGCTGCTCTTGGCCCTGTATCTCTCTGTCCCCTTAGCACTAGTCTCTTAAAAGTCACTTCTGTTTTCTTGCCATTTTAGTCCTTGATTCTCAGTCCTCACTCTTTATCCTCTTTCCTCCTGTCTAACAGGCTACTCCAAAACTCTTAACCTTGGAGTTTTATGGCATTTACATGTGAATGCTTCTTTTTCTTTGCTGACTCCTCTGGCTATGCCTTTCTAGTTCTCAGGTTCTGTTGTCTTTGGCTTTCTGCTTTGATATTTGGGCCACACCCAGGGATGCTCAGGGATCACTCCTGGTGGGTGATATTATATGGTGCTGGGGATTGAGGCTGGGTTGGGTGCATGCAAGACAAAAACATCACCTGCTATACTATTCCTCTGGCCTAGGTTCTGTTGCCTTAGGCATACTGTGTTTCTTTTCTTATTGGTTTGTTGTTGTTATTGTTGTTGTTGTTTGCTTTTGTTCTGTTTTTTGGGTCATACCTGGCAATGCTCAGGACTTACTCCTGGCCCTGTGCTCAAGGATCAGTCCTGGTGGGGGGGGGGGGGGGCTTCGTGAACAATATGAAGTTCCGGGGAGCAAATCTGGGCCAGCCACATGCAAGGCAAGCACCTTACCCTCTGTACTATCTCTCCAGAGCTTTGTTCCTTTATAATCCACATGTGAGAGAAGGTTTTGTATTTGTCCCTCACCTTCTGACTGATGTCATGGATGGATCTCCAGATCATCTCCGCAGCAGCAAGTTACATGATTTTTGTCCTTTCTTATAGCTGAGTAGTATTTCATTTTGTATCGTAGTTTCTTTATCTAGTCATGTTCTTGGACATGTGGACAATTTTCAGATTTTGGCTATTGTGAATAGTGATATAAATGTGGATGGATCATAGAAGGGCAAATGCCTTTTCTGCAGAGCCTTTAGACCCTAGTAGTAGATTCCAAGTATTACGGCTTGATCATGTGGAAGTTCAACTCTCAACGTTTAATAAGTGTCCATATTGTTTTCCAAAAAGTTCAAGCTAGTAAATATTCCCACCAGCATTTTTCCCCATATCCACACCAGTACTTTGGATTGTGCTGTGTAAGAGTTTTTTTTTTTTCTTTTCTATGCTGCCAGATGTACTGGTATGTGGAGATATCTCATTGTTGTTTTGTATTTCCCTCATGATAAGTGAATTTTTTGTATACCTATTGCCTATCTGTATATCTTCTTTGAGGAAGTTTCTGTTCATCTCTTCTCCCTGTTTTTTGATGGGGTTGATTTTTGTTAAGTTTTACAAGTGCTTTATATATCTTGGCTATTCCCCCTGGCAGATGAATAGTGGGTAAATATTTCCTCCCAGTCTGTGGGGTCATCATTTATTCTGGTCATCATTTCTTTCGCAGTGCAGAAGCTTCTTAATTTGTTGTAGTTCGATTTGTTATCTTTGCTTCTGTTTGCTTGGCCAGTAATGACAAGTTCTGGTGACTAAAAGCTTATCTGAAATTGGCTGCTGCTACTTAGTTCCAGCTGTTGTTGTCAAAAGTATGGGTGTAGTGAGACTTTTTCTTAGTTTTATAAGAGAAGATAAAATTCTGGATTTTTATTTTATTTGTTTTTATTATTTTGGGACCTAGGACCTCATTTGGTATTCAGGGGCTACTCCAATCTCTGCCACTTGGGGTTTGCTCCCAGGAGTGCATGAGGGACCATATAGTGCTGGGGCACAAACTTGAGCTTCTTCCTCAGAGAGCATGGGCTTTTGCAATATCTCCCCAGTCTCCCCAGAATCTGAATTTTAAAAAAATTTTGTTTGTTTTTTATTTTTGGGCCACACCCAGCAAAGCTCGGGGGTGTTGCTCCTGCTCTGCACTCAGGAATTACCCCTGGCAGTGCTTAGGGGATCATATGAAATGCAAGGGTCAAACCTGGGTGAGCCTTATGCAAGGCAAGCTGTACTGTCTCTCTGGCCCCCACCCCCCCCCCATCTGGATTTCTGAAATGAGATCTCTTTTTTCCATTTATTTAAAACTATCAACTTATTTTAAAAAATCAAACTATTGAAAATCCCTTTTTTTTAATACAGTATAAGTATATAATCTAAAGGCTTTATTTTTGTCTTTTTCCTTTCGTCATTGGACCACATCTGGTAGTGCTCAGGGCTTACTCCTGGCTCTGTACTCAAGGCCCACTCCTGGCAGGACTCATGGGACCTTGTGGAGTGCCAGCGATTGAACCTGGGTCAGCCATGTGCAAGATCAGTGCCTTATCCCCTGTACAATATCTCAGCCCCCGCTGAATTTTGATATATATTCATGCCCTTGCAAACACCACCATAGGCAAGATACAGAATATTTCTGTTACGCAAAAATTTCTTCTTTGGTGCCCAGGAGACAGTGACAAGTGGAAGAGCCCATTTCTAGGACTTCAAGGAAGGTCTTGACTTTGATTTTTAGCACCGCACCCCCTCTGTACCCTCTGCCACTTCCTGGCACAGCTCTGGTGGCCCCTGAGCACCATTGGCCTGTGCCAGGCCGCACTCCACCCAAAGTGCCCCCCCCCCCCACACTTCAATTACCAGCATTGCTGGTTGCAATCCCAGCAATTAAAAATTAAAAATTAAAAAAATAAAATAGGGGTGGCCAGAGCAGTAGTAAAACAGGGAAGGCATTTGCCTTGCACATGGCCAACTTGAGTTCAGTCCTGGGCATTTCATGTCCCCAGAGCACTGCCAGGAGTAATTTCTTTTCTTTTTTTTTTTTTTTAAATTTTTATTAGTGAAACACCATGAGATACAGTTGTAGACTTACAAATTTTTGTGCTTGGGTTTCAATTATACAATGATCAAATACCCATCCCTCCACCAGTGCTCATTTTCCACCATCACGGGTCCCAATATCCCTCCCACGCCCCATCCCCCCCCCCATCCCACCATGCCTCTGTGGCAGGGCATTCCCTTTTGTTCTCTCTCTGCCAGGAGTAATTTCTAAGTACAGAGCTGGGAGAAAGCCGTGAGCACTGCTGGGTGTGAACCCCCAACACACACACACACACAAAAAAAACAAAAAGAACAAAAAGGACTGGAGAGATAATTCAGCAGGTAAGGCACTGTCCTTACATGCAGCCAGCCCAGGCTTGATTCTAGTCACTACATATGATCTCCTGAGCACTGCCAGGAGCGATCCCTGATTGCAAAGTAAGGAGTAAGCCCTGAGCACAGCCAAGTGTAGCCAAAAAAGAAAAAAGAAAACCAAAACAAAAAAAAACCCAGAAAGTCCTCTGCTATCCTCTTTAGTATCCTTCCCTGCCCTGGCTCTGGTCTAGGACTGCTTTCTGTCACTTGAAGTGTTTCCTTGGGCACTGACAGTGCCATGGGGCAGGCAGCACCTTGCAGGCAGCATGGGGGTGAGAGACACTGGCTGGTGCTCTGTCTGTGACTCAGGTTGAAAAAGCTTCCTTGTCTTACGTATTTTCCTTTGAGCTTTTAGCTTTTACAGGCCGGCATTCTTGCAAATTTAAGAGTAACTTTGACCTCCTGATGTCCTGATTTTCAGCGGGGCCTTTTTCCTAACTGGTAAAAATGGCCAGAGAATAATGTTTGATAAGAAAGCCAGAGTACAGCACAGTGGGTAGGGTGCTTGCCTTGTATGCATTGGACCGGGTTCCATCCCCAACACCCATATGGTCCCTTGAGCCCCACTCAGATCCCTGAGCACAGAACCAGGAGAATGCCTTGCGTGTTACCAGGTGAGACCTAACCTCCCACCCCCACCCCCACCCCCAAAAAAAGCATCCTGTCCTCTAGGTATTTTGTGATTATGGAAAAGTTAATGTCTGTTTCTTTCTTCTAAGACATCTCTAAATACAAATTATATCAGACATAGAATTTGAGGTGATTTTGCTAAGTAAAATAAGCAAGTAATTGAAATACAATTATGGGTTAGTTTTACCAATGAGGAATATGAATGATGCAAACAAACTGGGTCTGGAAAGATGGTAAAGCAGTTAGGATGCTTGTCTTGCATGCAGTTGACCCAGGTTTCAACTCCCTGTCCCGCATATGGTCTCCTGAGTATAGAGCCTGGAGTAAGTCCTGAGCACCACCAGGTGTGGTCCCAAAACAACAAAACTAGCTTCTAGATTCAGTGAGGACTAAGTTTCAAATAAGAGAAAGAAGGTACAGTGGGCCGATGCAGGCAGTACTCGAACGTTTGGTTGCCGAGAGCTGCCTCCCCAGGCCAGACGACAGGCAAAGGACTGGGGGGTTGGGGGAGAATGACAAAACAGGAACAGGACCCCAGCTGGTCAGTAGTCGGTTTATTTCTCTCTCCTCCCTGGCGTAGTCTGATCTCTCCCTTACGGTACAGTCGCAGTCATCATTTTGGTTGTAGTCCCAGTCATCAGAGTTCCATCATCCTAGTTTCCTTATGGACCTCAAAGTCCTCTGCTTTCTTGTATCTTCTTCACGTCTCGACTTAGTCTCAGAGTCTTCTACTTCCAGTCATCATCGCCATCTGGTTCTCCTAGTCCCAAGGTCTCCAAAGTCTCAGTTCTCCTCGTCTCCAACGTCTCATTGTTGACCTTGTCCTCAACGTCTAGTCCTCAGCATCTAGTCTTCAGCATCTGGTTCTCAGCATCAGTCCCAACTTTCTCGTTCCCAACATCTAGTCCTCAACATCTTCAACATCTCCTTCCCAGAGTCTCATCCCCTTACAGCATAGTTATATAGAAATCATGAAGGGTGAGGATACAGACGTGGGGTTGAACATTATCATAACAACAAAGAGAAGTAAAGCCCTCCTACAGGGGATTAACTCAAGGACAGAATCTCATCTGAGGGTTCAGTTGTCTAGATTACTAGGAGATTCTGCTCAAGGGCAGGATTCCATCCAGGGTGTATTGCTTTCTCCTTTCCTCATCTAGTAATCCATTTAAACAATCACAGTAAATTTACTTATAATATTTCTACCAATTTCATTTTGTATGAACACAGCAAGAGATATATTAAGCGTAAAGATATATTAAGCTCTTCCTGGGGATGTCTCGCTATATATTCCAGACCACAATCCTCAGGCTAAATTAGTCGTTCCTAACTCCAGCAGGGTCTGCATTCAGTTACTTCTTTTTGGGTCATGACAGAGTTTGTCCATGACCGTGCTCTTATAGTTAAGTATTATGGCACTTGGCCTGGCCCATTTCGATGTCAGGGTAGCTCACAGCTTGCCTGGGTCCATCTAGTCCCTCCTCGGGACCATGCTCTTGGAGTGCTAGGAACTAAGGGCAACTGAGGCTTAAGTAAATATGGATGCCCAGGAGTAAAATATTATTTTGGAGTCAATTAACTTCCATGTTACATAGCATAGCAGCAATTGTCTTCCTGTGTCTGTATGAAAAGGACATTGCTAAGTGAACCATGCAAATGACATAAAGGAAAGAGAAAAGCAATATAGGATTATTAGTGCTTGATGGAATTGGGTGTGCCTCAACTGTACTCTTGTGGGAGTGGCTCAATAAACTTAAGATCCCTGGGGGAGGAGCAAGGAAAACCCAATGTTATCCAACAGAAGACTATGATGATTACTAGAGAGGAGAGGGTAGGATGGTATTGGAACTTTGAATGTAATGAATTCCATATGCATAGAGATGTTAAGCAACATTCCTTATAATCTATTAATGTAAGATAATGATAAATCAATTTTTAGAAAGACCAAAAATAGATAAAACTTATCTCTTACTCTGTTTGGGGGCCATACCTGGCAGTGCCAAGGTCTCCTCCCATTTGGTGCTTGGGAGTCACAGGCTTCTGGGAGTGCTCAGGCGGCCATGCTGGCCTGGAGTCTGAACCTAGGATTCTACATGCAAGTGTAGCCCTTTGTGTTATCCCACCAGCCCTCTCCCCCCCCTTCTCTTATTTTCAATATCTGCTCATTTACGCTTATGTTTTTACTCCCTCCCTGTCTCCCTTTACTCTTGTTGATGGGGGTTGCACACGCCTGGCTGTGGTGACGCTCCTTTAGCTGAGGTGGGACATGGTGAGGCTGCTTGTGCACTCAGCTGAAGCTTCACTGTGGTGCTTGCACGGGTGTCTGCCTGGGCCCCCTCCCTCAGTTGAGGCCCACAGTTTCTGATCATGGTGCCTGCCAGGAGTCACATTTCCTGGCTGGGACTCTCAGGTGGCTTTTGTGGTGGTGCTCCTTTGGCATGTCCCACCTCTGTTGTTCCGGTGCCCACACATCCCAACTGTGGTGTGGGGAGAAGTGGCGTGTAGTGCCAGGGCCAGAGAGCTGCCTGGTTTGTGCTCAGTGCATGGTGGGGGAAGCGGGTGTCTAAACTTGTGCCCAGACACTTGTGAAGCAGGTGCTGAGCCCCCGAGTTCTCATTCCTTTGGACCTTAATTGTTTTGTTCAAGGTTACTATTTAGCTGGAATCAGAAGCTTGAACCAGGATACTTGAAGGCACTTGTTTTTGAGGTTACTTGAGTAATCTTCATTCTTCCATTCTCTAGATAATCATGACATCATTTCCCTGAAGTTGTTTGAGCTGACGGTGGAGAGAACCCCAGAAGAAGAGAAGCTGCATCGAGATGTATTCTTGCCCTCAGTAGACAATTTGAAGCTACCTCATGATCGTGAGCATGGGGGGCCGGTGGGAGGGGGAGAGGGTTGGGGCCTGGGAGATCTGAGTAACTTGACCCTAGCTTTCCGGGCTCTTCCTGTGCTATTCCTGTAATGAACATGGTACACAGGCCTCTGTTTTCCCCTCATCTCTCAGTTATAGCAGAATATCTGCACAGCAGCACTTATTACATACTGATTGCCATGGCATCCATGCAGTAGGCGGCAATCACTGTGTCTACAGACTATTTCCATGACAGGAGGAGGCCCTGTGGTTGGTTGACTGGTTGGTTGGTTGGTTGGTTGGTTGGTTGGTTGGTTGAGCAGCAGCCACACCCGACAGTGCTCAGGGCTTACTGCTGGCTCTGCGCTCAGGGATCATTTCTAATGGCTATGAAGGACCACGTGGAGTGCCAGGGGTCGAACCTGGATCAGCTCTGCCCAAGGCAAATGCCCTACCTGCTATACTCTGAAGCCCTGTGGTTGAAACCCCACTGACTGAGTTTATAAATGGAGGCACCTGAAAAGGGAGCTTCTAAGCCCTGGCTCCTGGAAATTGGTGTCAGAAACTAGGGGATTAAAAGCTGGTTGGTTGGTCCCAACTGAGCAACCTGGTTCTGATTTGCTTTTCTTTTGTTTCCCCAGTGACAGCCCCTATGCCTCCCCTAGGAGGGCTGGCTCTCTTCCTCATCGTCTTTTTCTCTCTGGTGTTCTCTGTATTTGCCATTGTCATTTGCATCATTCTCTACAACAAGTGGCAGGACCAGAGCCGAAAGCGTTTCTACTGAGCACACCTACTGCGGGGCCTCTGTGCAGAAGTCTATATGACCTCTGGTGTCTGGCCACTGTTCAGGGATTGCTCTGTCAATGTTGCCGAGAAGGCAGGGATGCTGCATCCCCATGGGCTGTGGGACATTAGACTCGGATTCCGGAAACCCAGCCACCCCAGGGCAATGCTGCTGTGCTGCCTTTCCTTGCAATCCTTCCACTTGGGAAAGGAGAGGAAGGGGAGGAGAAAGGCTGGTGAAACGCCAGCATCACAGAAAGAACCTCAGAGCTCAGGCTGCCTTGTTGATGGGCTCCAAGGGCCTCTGAGCTCAGTTTTAAATCTGCAAAGAGCAGAATACCAGTGACCCTTGTCCATGCTGGTTAAATCTTCATTGGTTTTTGCCTTTCGTCCAAATCTCTGTTCACCCGAGAGGCTTTCTATGGAGACCTGAAGAGGAACTTTCTTCCCTGCCTTGCCTTCCTTCTTCTTTCATTGTCCTCCAACTGCAAGCTGAGCGGAAAAGACTTCCTAGTGGGGCCTTGGGTCCTAGCGCAAGCCCACACTTCACCTGTGCTTACCCGGTGGCCCCAGCACAGCGGCTCTCAGCTTTGCTCACTGCTCTCGCCTGTGTCCTATGGTGCAGTTCCAGGCTCTCTCATGCAGTCCTGCTGCCCCACAGGCCTGCAGCTCCTCCGTCAAGAGGAAGGAGCTACAAGTCAAGAGAAGTTTGGAAATCTTGGGTTGCTTTGGGACCCCCGTTGAAAATAACTGGCTCCATATCTCACCAAAAGGAACAGTCACCATATGTCTGACCATGTGGAGATTTTCTTTTGTGGGGGGGTGGGGTCATTGGAGCGTTTCGCTGCATGGTTTTTCATGATTTGGGGAATTCCACTTTGAGGGCTCCAAATGTGAGGAAGCTGCTTTCACAGAGATTCAGCATGGATTCTATGACCCAAGGAGGAAGAGATCTGCTTCCTCTTCCTAGTGGAGGAGACACAGTTGTGGTGTTACACAGTTGGAACATACTCTTGACGCCTGGAGACTCAGTCAAGCTGCAGAGACTGAGTATAAGCCTCCAAAGTCCACTGCCTTATCTGATGGGGGTCACTGCTCAGCTGTCTACCTGTGGTCACAGTCGCCAACTCAAGGGCCTGACACTCAGAACTTAGTCACCGTACACTTTTGTAGCATAAGGGAATTCTTAAAATGGCTAATAGAAAATCAAACATGAGTTTCTCACTTAGTGTCCTTCCTCCTGGGAGGGGTCTAGAGGCCCCTGATGCTCAAGCTTCTCAAGCTTCGCACTTTTCTGGCTTGGGAAAGCCCACCACAGCCATGTCCAGAAAGAAAGGAGTGGGCTGGGTCTGCGTTTCCATCTGGGCATTTTGCTCACTGCTCTCGCCTGTCTTCCATGCACATCAGAGGCTGTCATGTTGCAAATGGAATTAAAGGGGGGTGAGTGCCAGAGGACATACTGTGACCTTGAACTTGGCCTTAGGAGCAAGTAGTACTAAAAAAAGCAGATGACTTTTTGTTCTTTTTGAGTTCCAGGAGAGATTGGATAGAACCCTGTGGTGGGGTGACCTGAAATATCACACCTGGGATGACAGTGCTGTAAAAGTCATTTCTTTCATGGGGTGGTATGTGTGTGCTGTGTGAGGTCATTATGGAATGGGGTGTATGCATATGTGTAAGGTCAGACATACGGGTGCTCTCATGGAGTTGTGTATAGTTGTGTGTGTGTGTGTGTGTGTGTGTGTGTGTGTGTGTGTGTGTGTGTGTGATATCAGACATTTTGCTTAGGAGGTTTTCTGGTGCTGAGCTCCTTTGGGCTTTGTATTTTTATATATGTATTTATTTGGGGGCTACACCCAGTGGTGCTCAGGGGCTGCCTTGGGGGTTGCTTTGGCAATGCTTGTGGAACCATGTAGTTCTGGGATCAAATTCAAGGGATGCTACATGCAGAGCATGTGCTCCAGAGAGTTTTGGGTTTTGGGTCATAGCTGGTGGTGCTCAGGGACTTCTCCAGCTTAGTGCTCAGGAGTCACTCCTGGCAGTGCTTGGGGGACCATGTGGTGCTGGGGAGTGAACCTGGGCCTGTGTACAAAGTGTACAAAGCCTGTACTCCAGCCCAGTAAACAAATTCTGATCCCCTGGAGGCTTTTAATTTTTTTGTTTTGGGGGCCACCTCTGGAGGTATTCAGGGCTTACTCCTGACTCTGCACTCATGGATAACTCCTGGTGGGTTCAAAGGACCATATGGGATGCTGGGGTTCTACAGCATGCAAGGCAAGCACCCTACTATTGTACTTTCACTCTGGCCTCCCCTGTAGCTTTTTTAGAAAGAGGGCATGGAAGTCATGAAAATGACCCCACCAAGCCTGGGGCTACTTTAGGGAAAACATACGCAGGGCAACAACTGCGCCAGCTGGAGCTTTTCTAGAATTGTGGGCATGTGATCCCAGGTCTGATCACGAGAGGGAGGTGCCTGGCCCATGCTGTGGCTCTGCGCTCGCTTGAGACTCATCTGCTTGTCCCGTGGCCCCAGGTGAGAACAGGTCTGCCTGTCCCGTAGAGGCATTGTTCTCCTAAATCCCCTGTCCTTCCGTTGTCCCACTGCTAGGCAGAGACCCGAAGGCCTGGAGGTGGTGCAGAAAGAGGGCACTATTTTCCCGAGAGTCTTGTCTGAAGACTGGAGGTTTCAGACTTCCGTATGGCTCCAAGCATCCAACACCGTACCCCTAAATTATCAGGCAGCAATGTTATAAAACTTGTTTATTTTAGTTTCAGGAAAATTACAACTCTGCCCTCCTTGTTGAAAGCGATTTTGGAAGAGAACAGCCAGAATACCAGAGGCTTCCCGCGTGTGTCTTAAAAGACAGAAATAGGAGTTGCCCAAGGAGCGCTGCTGGGTAGGAGAAAAGCTAAGCAAAATGACGGATCGTCTGGGAGAGGACCTTTGAGCGACTCCCCTCTCACTCAAGTGGATTCTAGGGGGAGTCTTAACTGAGTCTTCTGTAGACCTTAGGTTCACATGCTGGCTGCAGAGGATGGAAGAGACCTCTCGACTGGCACACTATTTTTAAGGTTAGCAGAACTAATCATCCGGAGTTCAGGTTTGATCCAGGACATGGCCAAATAGTTCTAGAGAGAAGAGGCACTGGCTAGCTTGAGGTAACAACTCCAAGAGCGACCAGTGCCTCGTCCTCGTCCCCATGACTGTCACTCACCGGAGCAGAATAGATGAAGTTGAATAGCAAAAGCCCTATAACCGATAGGATCAAGCTGATCAAGAGTTTGTATCGATAGCGTCTCCACAAAACATAGCTGAAAGTTCGGAAAGGTGCCCGAAGCCATCTGATGAAGCTGGAGGCCCGCCTGTCCACATGCAGAGATGTCAGAGAATGGGGGGCAGAGGGAGGCTGCTGCCACCAGCCCAGGCCTGGGCCTGTTCCTGTCTCCCCCACTTCATCTCTTTATTCTCTCCTGATTTGAGCTGTGGACTTGGGACATCTGGCCCCTCCCTTTGTAGGTCCCCCATACCGTGCAAATGGAACCTTACACGGGAGGATAGAGTGTAGGATACTGGTTGGGCTCTGAATGGCCTCGGCCTGTGGGCTTGAGTAAAGCATCCTTCTCTGTCAGCACCTCCAGCGTCATCTTTATTTTACCCTAAAAATGTCCGGGGGGGGGGGGGAGGGGGAGGGGGAAGGGGACTGAGCTCAGTTTGAAAGAGTAAGAAGAGCTTTTTGTTTTGTTTGGGGGCCACACTTGATGGTGCTCCAGAATAGTTTACTCCTGACTTCGAGCTCAGGGCTTGACCCTGTGGTGCTCTCGGGATCATGTAGCACCAGGGATTGGACCCAGAACTCCCCCATGCAGAGCATGTGCTCCAGCCTATTGAGCTCACTCTTTCCAGTACCAGGAGGGAAAAGTGAGAATCTGTGAGAATCAAGACCCATGACAGCCCAGGCAGTGGATGCCTCCCCTGGGCGCTTACCGACATGTACCATTTATTTTCCTTAAGGGCCTGACACGGCCACCAGCCAGTCACAGTCTTCTTCTTGAAGAGGGAGAAGCGTTGAGGCTGGAAGTAGGGCCATCTGGGGTCACTTTCCATCAACCTGATGGAGCACTGCCTGGATTTCTTGGCTGGGAATGGCATGTTGGAGAGATTCAGCTCCAGCATCCCTGAGTGGAGAGATGCCGTCAGTAGGAAGGCGCGCCCTGTCCTGTGGTCCTGGGTCACAGGCAGGGTCTCACCTAGGAAGTCATCCGCAGAGATGATGTCATTGTCCCAGACCTGGATGATGAGCCGGGCTGGGAACTTTTGTGATGTGGGGTTCAGGCTCCAGACATAGTCCTGGAGGGTGGCCGGAGGGTATGTTACGGATCTGCTTGGAGTGTCTCTGGTCCATTGCAGCCAGTAGGCTGTCCAGTGGAGGGTTTCATCTCAGGTCCCCTTCCACGTGCACTAGGGCAGCTTGCAGGCCTCCCTGAAGGGCGTGGGGGGCAGGAGCGCACCCACCCGGCCTGTTACCTTCTTGCTCAGGACGCACATTTGCTCCTCAGGCAGGTAGTCAAAGGGGAAGATGAAGCGCCAGTTGAAGTCGGCTTTCCCCAGGGATTGGTAGTGGATATCTGTACTCTGCATGTCCTTCTCGAGCCCAGATAACCACCTGCGGCAAAAGGCCTGTCATCTGGGGGTGGGATCTGCTTGAGCCCCTGGGGAGACCCATGGGAGTCACAGCCCCAGGGACATGCAGGGGTACCAGGCCTCACGCACCCTTTGATGTAGATGTCACTCATTTTGTCGGTGCTTATACTGATGTCCTGCAGCTCTACCTCAGCCGTTTCCCAGATGACACAGCGCAGCTCGTACCTGCAGTCACCAAGCTCTCAGGCCTCCCTGAGTGACTAGCTCCATGACTGCAGCCTCAGGAGGGAGGAGGGCCCTGGGCCCTTCATGCCCACATGAGTCGGGCTTCATTGAGAAGTGAGGAGGGGGGCCAAGGGAAGAAAGCTCCCGTGGAGGAAGAGTGTGACCAGGTGTCAGCCCCAGAGCATTGGACCGGTCAGGCTGTACGAGCTGTGCAGAGACTGGCAGGTTTTTTTCACTCACCTCTTAGCAGTTCTGGGACTGATGATGGTGGGAGCACCAGGAAGCCCAAGCTTCTTGGGGAAGAGGTCCACCCACAACTGCACCTTTCCCTACAGTGGAGATAGATTGGTTTGCTGGCTTCTGTTTGTGGTATGGGGGCCTGGGGAGTCCTGGTCCAGGTACCAAAGTCTGTTGGAACTGTGTTGCCCACATGGAGGGCAGGATGTATCTGTGAGACATTTGTGAGTGAAGGAACTTGAGCAATTGTCCATCAGTTCCCCCCTGCTTGTCCATTCTTTGTTTGGGGACCACACCCAGAGATGTGAAGGGCTTAATCCTGGCTCTGAGCTCAGGGATCGCTTGGGAGACCCTGTGTGGCTGGGGATCGAACCCAGATTCACCATGTGCAAGGAAAGAGATTTAATCCTTGTGCTCTCTCTTCCCCTCTCTGATTTCTCTGGGGTACTGGGAGAGGCTGGTGTCTTCTAGCCCTGACTCTGAAGAAACTAGATGATTAAGCCAGAATCCCAAGTCTCTTTTTCCCTTATGCTCTATAAACACACTGTCAAACACTGTCCTCCTGTTGTTCATCAATTTGCTCGAGCAGGCCCAGTAACGTCTCCATTTTTGAGACTTGTTACTGTGTTTGGCATATTGAATACGTCACAGGTAGCTTGCCAGGCTTTGCCGTGCACATCCTAAGGATAAACAGTCCACAGAGCACTGAGGTCTGAGGAAGATGAAAATGGTGAGGAAGAGGGTGGGACAAGTGACACCACTCACCCTGGAAGAGAAATGCCCTCTTTCAAACCATCTGGTTGGGTATTGACCCCAGGCGCCTTCTCCATCAGTGCTGACATGCCTCCCTGGAAACTTCTTGCCATCACCATTTATGCAGCCTGCTCACCTCCAGGGCTGGCACAAAGGTGAATGTGTGATTTCTCCTCCCCCCACCTTACCTTGTCTGTGCCCTGGGAATGGGCGCCCAGCTCTCTGCGGGTAGCACCGACAGTCTCCTACCTGGTCAATGCCTGGCTGGCTCTCACTGTACAGCGTGCGGGTCTCCACATGCTCAGGGACCAGCCCCTGCAGGCGCAGGACATGCAGGGCTAGGCGTTCTTTCTTCGGCCCCAGATAAGGCAGACGAGGGGTCTGGGGCTCTGGAGGGGAAGGCAGGCAGTATGCGCCATTAGTCTTCCCGTCTCCTGGGCAGGCCTCCCCGCTCCCCGGGCCTCTTGGCAGGCTGGGCTCACCAAAGTGCTTCAGCTTGAACACTGTCCCGTTGTAAAACACCGTGTCCTCTTCCATGTTGAACACGGGCCGAGACAGCCCCTTCCGCCTGGCATGCTGTTCCAAGAGGACAGTGGGGGGCACCTGATCACGCCACTGGAAGGGCCCCGACCTGTGGATATGTGTAGGGAGAAGGGAGAAACAGGATGAGCAGTGGGGTGACTGGTAGGCAGCAGGAGGGCAGAGCTAGCACAGGAGCCATCGTAGTTCCCGGATGCAGCCCTGGCAAGGGCTGAGGGCGCTGGGATTCTCTCCTGCCCTCTCCAGCTGAGTTCTCTCTCACAGGCAGTAGGATTTGGGGATCCCACAGCGAGCTCCAAAGCCAGACAGGAGTCGGTTTTCCAGGTCGATGATGGTGGTTCCGATCTTATCATCGGGGGAAAACAGGTCAAAGTCGTACAGCTGGATCTCCAGGTCCTTCTCCAGGGGGATGGTGCAGTTCAGCTCAAACATCCTAGGGCAAGGGCGTCAGACATGCAGACTGGGGGCTTGTTACTAGCCACCTTCGTCCCTGGCATCTTTGTCTCCAGGCCTGTGCTCCACCCTCTGCTTAATCCCAGTGAAGATGGGGGCAGAGCCTCATGACTTTTATGAACAATGACTAGCCCCCCAGTTATGGCTGGAAATACTTTTTTTTTTAACTAGGGGCCATGCCAAGCAGTGTTTTAGGTAGGAGTGTGCAGTTAGGATTTTTCATGCATACCTCACAGTTGGGCGCTTTGGGGCCACCAGGGCCACCCTGGAGATCTTCTGGGGGGCATAGGGTTCTCGGGAGAGAACTCAGGCCTCTGGAGTGCCCAATGTGCTCAGCCACTAGAGTTGTCTCCCTTGCCCCCGGAAGTAATATCTTATAGGCGTTGGACCCCAACCTCCATCCCCAGAGAGAGTGTTAGAGAAAGAGGGGGAGAGCATCCGTCGCCCCTCTACTGAGTGCCCGGAGTGTGGAAGGCTTCCCACTATGAACTTGGGGGTCAGAGCTGGAGCTCTCTCCAGGCATGGTAAGGAGAAGAGCAGGACCTGCTGAATGGGAGCAACTCACATGCCGAAGATGGGGTCCAGAGTGTTGGGCTGGTACTTGTCGCGGGTGCCCAGCACCACCTTTCCCAGTTTCAGCATCACGTAAGGGTCACACTGGAGTCAGAAGTCAGGGGAGAACAGGAAATGGGGCATCTGGGTGACTCAGGCGGTCAGGAGGGACACACACAAGCAGCAGTTAGCAGTCTGAGGGGCCCCCTGGGGCTGTGGGCGGGGGAGTTGCTCATTACCAGGCCGTTGGTGTCCTGGGGCTGCAGGTTGATGGCCCGGATGATGTACACCCGCACCAGGCACTCCTGAGGGAAATCCTCCTTGTCGGGGTGGAATCGGAGCTGGCGGGGGGGCCTGGGGTCATTGGGGTCCTCCGAAATGGGGTAGATACGGAAAAGGCCCTGTGGGGGCATGCAGGAGGGTTGGTGGCTTTCAGCTTGGCTATGCCACCCTCCTCGGTTAGGCTCTCCAGGGGGTACCCAGCAATGCCCAGGAGAGGATGGGTGGAGGCCGGCATGAGTGTGACTTGGGTGTGTGGGGGGTCTGTGGGAGGAGGGTGTGGGCAAGGCCCCCTGGTCATGGGGTGAGCTCTGGTTGCCAGAGTGCGTCTCAAACACAGGCCAGAGGCAGGGTGAAGAAGGCTCTGGTCCTGGGGTCACCACAGGTAAGTCTGTACATACCCCGTTCTCTGCTGCCCCCAATTCCCAGATCATTGCTTTTTGGTTTTGTTTTTAATTTTTGCTCCACACGCAGTGATACTCAGGCACTCCTAGTTCTGCACTCAGGCTCAGGGGAGTTCCTGGTTGCCTGCCTGGCCAGTGCTTTGCTGCTGTACTGGCTCTCCAGCCTGCCCCAGCCCCTGCAAACCGTGTTTCAGGTGCTCCCAGCCCCAGCATTGAGAAGTACCACCAGAAGCTAGGACCCACACAGGGGTTTCTGGGTGCAGAAGGGCTCCGGGCCAGGCTGCTTAGGCAGTGTGGGGGAAGGAGGTTGCGTGCCTTGAACTCCCCCACGACAGGGCTGTCCACCTTGGGCTGCCCCTGGTAGAGTTTGAAGGTCTGGCAGAAGTCCTGCAGGCCCTCGAAGGCAGGCACCGCCTCTAGCTCACAGTCATACACCTGCAGGGGTTGCAGAGGCCGGACCATCAGTCCATAGCAGGCCGACTTGCCACCAGCCCTCAGATCCTTCCCCAGAGTGTCTGCTCCACTGGTGGCCAGGCTAGTGCTCGGTGCCAACTCCCTGGAGGGGTCTCCAAACCTCAAGGGGGAAGTAGTCCTTGTACTTGTACTCCTGGGTCTGCTGGTCCAATCCTGTGGCCCAGAACAGCTTGCTCCACCAGTCCACATCGTACTGGAGATTGTCCTGTGGGGAGAGCGTCCTGGGCCCTGCCCCATACCACCTGCTCGAGTCCTGTTCCCAGGCAGAGCCTCCCTCACCTGGACTTTGCTGACCTTCGGCCAAAACTTCTCATAGAAGTAACCAAGGAGCTGTAAGACAGACCGTGAGCAGCGGGGAGCCAGGCAGCCCCGCTCTGGTGGGAGCCAGAGTGAGGGGGGCTCAGTGCCCAGCCCCTCCGCCACTCCCATGGGCCATGGAATTTTGGAATCTTCTCCTTTGGGCCTGGGGGTGAGGGAGACAAGGAGTTCTTTTTTGCCCACAGCTTCAGCCTGAACTTGGGGAGGCTTGGAGGTACCGCAAGTATCACACCAATCCCACTTGGGGTCATCAGAATGTGGGTCTGCTCAGAGTGGCCCCAGACACTGTTCACGCATGACATGTTCACGCATGATAGCTACTGCTCCAAGCACACACTGGGGCCTGGGCGATAGCGTGTGCCTGCTCCTGGGGACCCCAGAGCCCGTCTTGAGCAACCTCCTAACTGTACCAGGTGCAGTTCCTGAGTATTGTGTGTGTGCCACTGCCCCCCCCCCAAAAAAAAAAAAAAAACTGACAAAAATGACAGCAACGTGCAAACCTACCCAGACTGGGCAGGAAGGGGGACTTGGAAAATGCTGATGCCTGGGTTGTGCCCCCATCTGCTCTCTGCTATCAAGATTTATTTATTTTTGCCAGGACGGGGTGGGGTGGTGAACCACACCCAGTTACGTTCAAGGATTACTCCTGGCTCTGCGCTTAGGAATCACTCCTGGTGGTGGTGCTCTGGGAACCATATGAGGTGCTAAGGATTGAACCTGGGTTGGCTGTGTGCAAGGCAAGCACTCTACCCACTGTACTATCACTCTGGGCCCCTGCTGTGTTCTCAAGATTTCTAAAGAACTCAGCCAGTGGTAGTTTTGGGGGTCATGCTGCAAAGTTCTGGTGTACAGTTAATCACGCCTCACCCTGGCGCTGATGGCGAAGTGTGAGCTGTTTGGTCTACCCTCCCCCCCAGGAACAATTGTGCAGGAGAGGAGAGGGGCGAGGAGGAAGAGGAAGGATGGAAGGGAGAGGTGTGGGGAAGGAGGAGAGGAGAAGAGAGGAGGGCGGGGTGGCCTCGCTCACCGTCAGTCTCCTGATAGAGAGCACTGTGTGGAGAAAGCAAGGGGGAATCTCAGGAAAAGGGCAGCCAGGACCTTCCCCACTGCTGCTAGCTGGGTGGGCAGGGCCAGGAGGAAGGGCCTTACCTGGGAGCTTTGGGGGCACATAGTCAGAAGCCCAAGGATCACAGATGTAGGGCTGGAGGGAGCTGATGCTGGTCTGACCCACCACACTGCGCTGGCCATACTTCTGGGTATCCAGCACCTTCAGCATGAGGGGCGTCATGTAGGACTCCTGCATGGGCATGAACTGCAGCCAGGAGAGAGAGACGATGGTGAGGCTGCGCGGGTCCCACCCCCACCCCCACGGGGACCCCCTGCAGGCAGGTTCCACACCAGCGTGAGGAAGAGGATGGGCTCATTGAAGTTGGGGTTGGTCTGGAAGTTGGGGATGGGCCGTGTCTGTAGGGTCTCTTGCCAGCACTCCACAAGGAGCTGGGGGGAGCCCACGTACTTCAGGTTCCGGAGGCCCCAGGCCAGGATCTGCCAGAAAAGAGAGGAGGCTCCGGGGGAGTCCCAGGGACCCTGCCCCGTGCAGGTACCAGCTTGTCCTCCTGGCCTGGAGACTGTCCTTGTGGTCCTTCCCCTCCTGCACCTGGTCTGGCCTCTCTGGAATTCTCCTGAGTGAGTGTTCAAAGTGACTGCTCAGGGCCTCGATGTTGCAGGCGCCCCTTATACTCTTTAGAGAGATGCTGGCTTGGACCCGAGAGCAGTCTGAGACTCAGCACCCTGGTGTGGCGCCCTGGCAAGGTCCAGACCCCGCATCAGGGGCCATCACAGGGTTTGCCAGCCTGCCTTATGTCCTGGTCCAGCAGGTGGCCAGGCAAACAGGTGTTCACAAGGACCCCTGACTCACACGCTCATGCTGGCTGACTGGGAAGTTAGCCGGGGCTAGTTCTATAGTGCAGCTCTGAACCCCCACCCCCACCCCACCCCTATGCAGCCTCTCCGTGCCCAAGGAAGGCTGAGCCCTTTGTTTTGGGGCCACACTCTGCGGTGCTCAGGGCTTACTCTTGGCTCTGCACTCCTGGCAGGCTTGAAAGACCACATGGTGTGCCGAGGATTGAGTCCAGGTTGGCTGCATGCAAGGCAAGCACCCTACCCACTGTACTGTCTCTCCAGCCCCTCGACAGGGACTTAAAATAACTGAATAACAAGGTAAAATACTGAACCTCTTGAGGCTCTTTGCTTCTCTGCTGCCTCCCAACAGGCCACACACACTGTGGGCTTCAGACTTTGGATCAGCTCACCAAGAGGGCCCACGGGGGGCAGCAGAGACAGCTCTGCAATGCTCAGCTGCTGAGGATGGGGTCCCTGCGACTCCTCCCCACCCCCTCCCCCTCATCACCTCAATAACCATTTTCTTCATCACAGGCTGGATGTTCTTGGGGAGAGCGTAGACCCCATTCTTCCAGGGGATATTGAAGATGGGCAGTTTCTGTTTGAGTTTCTGAAGGAGGAGGTGGAGTGTGAGGGGCTGTAGTGCACCCCATTCCCTGATAGGGTCGGTGCCAAGGGCAGGGCTAGTGGCAGGGCAGCAGAGAGACTGGGCAACCCATGGCGCCGAGCCCAGATGGGGTCCGGGCCCTTTCTTCGGGTGTAGCTTCGGGGCTTGTGGTGGGGACGGCAGGCGGGGCACCCCAGTACCTCTGTCTCCAAGAACAGCTCACAGGAGGCCAGGATCTCGCCCTCTTCCTCCCCCAGTTGGTTGATGAGCGGACACCACCTCATGGGATACAGGATCCTGTTTTGGACATCCAGCCAAACCTTCGGGACACACATGCTCCGTCCCCACAAGCTTTCCCTGCCCTGGAGAGCAGGGGGTGGGGGGTGGGATTTCACATCAACTGGATGCCCAGAGCCCAGCCACAGGCTCTGTGGAACCCGACCCACTACCCCCACTCCCAGCCCATCACCTGGGAGTCATGCTGCCACAGCTCCAGAATCACGAGTGGGGGGCTCTCCCGGGTGTCCTGGGGGCTCTCGTTCAGGAGCAGGTGGTGGAAGATGAGTGTCTGGGCCCACGTGGGCACGGTGGAGCTGCTCAGGGTCTGCGTGCACTGGCTGTGGTTGAGGAAGACCGCCCGGACGAAGGGCCCTGGCAGGGGGATGGGGGCGCTGCTCTGAGCCCTCAGCCAGGTGCTTCTTGCCTCTGGTTACTGCCGCCCAGGACTGCGACATGGGGAGGTCCCAGCCGACACCCCCGGAAGTCACCTCAATGTTAGCTCCTGAGTGAAGTAGCAAATCTCCAGGACCCTGATCGTTTGCTTCCATCCATGTCCACTTCTCAGGGCATAACCAAGGGAGCCCAGTGGCCCCAAGCAGGAGCTCAGGACATTGAGGCACAAAGGCAGTCCTTTGGTGGGTCAGTGGGTGCCCTGGCCCTGGGGCCCTCCTAATGTGTGGGTGCAGGAACACAGGAGACACCTGCCAGCACCCCCGAAACAAGGCCACTTGTGATGTCCCTGACACCAGTCCTGTCTCCTCCCGGGACCCCCGTGGGCTGCTTCCATGCAGGCCAGCAGTTGCCCCCCACCCTCACCTCCCTTATCACACAGGGATACTCTGGCCCCAAGTGCTCCCCTTGCTTGCCTTCACACACGTCTGCTCTCGGCCAGCCAAACTCATTCCCCACCTGAGGCCTAGGGATCCCCTCACTGGATGAAGCCCCTCCAACTCCCCCGTGTTGGTGGCATAGGGGAACCCCCAAGAGCAGTCCTGCCTGTACTCCTCTTGGCTGTTTTAGGTTAAAATAGTGCTCATGAGACCACTGGGCACCGGGGATCACACTCAGTTCCACATGCAAAGCATGTGCTCTTTTTGAGCCCCCTGAGCTATTTCTCTGTGTCCCTGTACTCCTGGGTTCCATGCCCCTTGGTGTTTTGGCCACACCTGGCAATGCATTCAGGAACCTCTCCAGGGACAACATGGGGTGCTGGAGATTGACCCTGGTACCTGCTATGCTCTCTCTCCAGCCCTGGTCTTCTTGGGTCCTGTTCTTTCCCACAAACTAGCACCATGAGTGACCATGGGGTTGGAGGGAGGACCCCTGTCTTTGTCACCCTCTTCCTTTACACTGACGGATCACCCCCTCCCCCACACACCCTTGCGGCCCTGGGTGCTTGCCACCTACCCTGGAAGGTCAGGATGTTGGTGGAGATCAGGCTCCGGGCCTGGTAGATATAGCAGAAAAGCTGGTAGTAGTTGGGCTCTGGGTAAGAGAAGAGTTGAGTACACCCGCTGGCCCCAGGCCCCGTCTCCTCACCCTGCCCTCAGAGGCGGAGGCCCATTCAAGGCTCACCATCGAAGACACAGTAGATGAAGGGCAGGTCGACTGACTGCACGGGTTCTGGCTGAGACATAAAAGAGAAACTGCTCCTTCTGGAAAAGCTGGTCTCTGTCACCTTCTTCTCTTCCTGAGCCATCTGGTTCAGATCCAAAGCCTGTGCCCGGGATGGTCTCTCCTCAGGTCCATGTCCCAGTCCCGAGAAGGTGCTTGTGGCGCCCTGACCCCCCCAGCCTCTGTGTCAGCCTGGCTGCAGGATGTGAGGAGGCAGAGCCTTTACCAAGGATCCCTCCAGCAGGAAGATGGGTGCGACTCTTGCTTTCTTGCTGGGCACCATGCTGCGGTGCCAGCAGCGGCGGCGGAAGCGGCTCTTGGGCTGAGGGTTCAGCTGGTACTTGGAGCCCACAACATTGCTATACTCCCAGTCCTCTTCTGGCCTGGGCTGTGGCCGCGGGGAAGGAAGTGAGTGACCATGGGCTCGGGGGTCTGGCCCCGGCCCTGCCAGCCCCTCCATGCGGGTGGGCCTCACCAGCTGCAGAAAGGAGAGTGTCTCCTGCTCAGGGCTCAGCTTCCTGTGGTCCCGGAGGCGCACCCGGGCCCAGCGGCGCCTGCGGCATGAGCAGTAGGTCTTCTCCACGGAGTTCCAGATGCGTGGCTGGCCTGATGGTGGGACCCCCACTCCGTACTCCCAGCCTGCAGGGGCAGGACCAGGGATGCAGGCGTCCAGGTGCCCTGATGCTTGGAGGCTTTGGACTGGCCTAGGGATGGCTCCCCAGAGCAGGAGTCTAACGGGGCACAACTACTCCTGAGGTCTGGTGGCTTTGGCCCAGAGTGGGAAGGGAAGGTGTGGTAGATGACACCAGGTGGCCCCAGCTCACTGCTGTCTCCAGGGTGAGGGAGACCCAGAGATGTCGCATGACCCACATAAGGCCACATGGTCAAAGAAAAATTAAAAAAATAAATTTAAAAAAAAACCACAGGGGCGCTGGAGCAATAGTACAGCGAGTAGGGCACTGGCCTTTCACGTAGCCAATCCGGGTTCTATTCCCAGCATCCCATATGGTCCCCTGAGCGCACCACCAGGAGTAATTCCTGAGTGCACGAGCCAGGAGTAACCCCTGTGCATTACCAGGTGTGACCCAAAAAGGAAAAAAAAAATACCCACAGGGTTCTAAGTCAAGGAATTGGCCTTGAGCATGGCGCAACCACACAGGAAACCCCAGCCCCACCCTTGTTCAAGCACGGGGGATTCAGGGAATGACAGACAACCAGCCTGTCTAAACACTGGGCCATGGCCTATCTCAAAACTGGGGGCCATTTCTTTTGGGAAGGATGAGGCCCTGTTCTTGGCAGCTGGAGGTCCCCCCCTTGCGGCTCCGAGGCCAGGACAGAGTGGGACCCAATAGCCCCAGTGTCCTGCCGTCAGTCCTCGGCCTGAACACGCACCCTCATTGTCCACTGCATGGTTCAGCTCCACCGTCCAGTTCTTCTTGATGTGCCAGCCCTCTGGGCACTTCATGTTCTGCCGGGTCTCCACAGGCTGTCCGTTCTGGGGGGACGGGGGCCTTACTCTCCTGCTTGGGTACTGATTCACGTTCCTTGGGTCCAGTGCCCCATTCCGTGAGCAAACCAACTGCTATGAGTCTTCACACAAACTTAAATTTCCTTTTACTGACTGGCCTTTTTCAACTGTGAATGCATGTATTTTGGGGGAGAGGGAAGAGGACACACCTGATGGTGCTCAGGGCTTACTACTGGTGCTGTGCTTAGATCGTTCCTCTTCCCTGACAGTGCTGGGGGACCATAAGTGCATATAAGACAGTAAGCCTTAACTCAGCCCCATCAACATTGTTTTTGTTGTTGCTTTTTGTTTGTTTCTTGTTTGGCCCTTAGCCGGCTGTGTTCGGAGATAACTCCTGAATCTGGGCTGAACAGCACTATCTCTCCAGCCCCAACCATCATTGTGTTTTTTAGAGGGAAATCAGAATTCATGGCTTCATGAAAAATCAGCCATCCTCACTTACCATAAACAGAAGATAAGCACAGTCATGGCTGAAAACAAGTCGCATGACTGGCTCTCAGCGACTGCCCCCAGGTCAGACTTGTGCTACTGAAGCACAGCTCTGGGGATACCGAATGAAACAAAATTTAGGACTGGGTTTCAGATGCAGACAATTAAGTTCAGAACATTCCCATCCTTGGAGCAGCTTGCCTTGTACATGGCTGACCCTGATTCAATCCCCAACATCCCATATGATCCCCTGAAGCCCCACCAGGAGTCACCCTTGAGGGCCAGGCAAGCCCTGAGCACCACCAGATATGATAAACAAAAAAATACAACAAAACAAAACAAAAAAATAGACTATTTCCATCCTCACAGAAAGTTCCATGGGCCAGTGCTGGCTTAGTTTGGCCTCTTACAGACTTTCCCTGGGGCAAGACCACCTGGGGTGAGGGCTGGGAAGAGACTTGTTATTCCTTCATCCGCTTCTCCTCATATTCTGATATACAGTATCTCTATCCACCATCTTGGGGGCTCAGGCCATGTGGGGGGGGCCAGGCTCTGATGGGGACCGTATGGACTCATGCACTAGCACAACCCATCTTCCAAGGTCCCACCCTGGTAATGGAGTGGGCAAACCCACCCCACCCCTGTCCCCTTCACCACCACCTCCTTTGAGTTGACTTTCACCCCCACTCACCACATCGGTGTTGGGGACGGCTGCAGGCACCCAGGCACCCGTGGCATCCCGGTGTTGGTTCTCGTATACTTCCTCCACCACTTGGCTCTTGTTGATGTCTATGTCGAGGAGAAGTCTGGGAGCAGCGAAACCCCACATTCCTAACACATCTCCCAGAGCTGATTCCCACCCCTATACTGAGGGGGTCCTTCTATACTGGCCACCCACTTGGCCTTAAATGACAGGGCAAGCCTGTCAGTGGGGACGGGCATTTAAGGTGGTGGCAGGGCTGTTGTCCCCATGGGAACAGAGATAGTGGCTGGGTGGCCACCCCTCTGGGCTGCTGCTAATGAATCCTCCTCTGGGAAAGAAGGGTCAGTTCCTGGGGTGCACGATGTAGAACACAGACCGAGATCCCACCTTACCTCCTCTGAGGCTCCACTCTCCACTGCCCCTGCCACTGCCATCCCTGGGGTGTCTTGAAATTCTCCTTGGGCAGGGCCTTCTTGCACAGGACATCTGAGAAGTTGGGGCAGTGGTACAGCCTTTCTTTGCCCCACTGTCCTCTGAACATGGTTTCGTTCTCGTACTAAGGAAGGGAAGCCAGTGCTGACTACTCCCCAGGAGCTCACGGGCGTCCCACCCTGACCGTACTCTGGGCTGCTTGACACCCCCAAGGAGTGACCCCTGCCCCAGGACCAGGAGTGAATGTGTGATTTACCAGAGAAAGGCCTGCCTGCAGATGTCAGGTCTGCATCCCCATTCTCGTCTGGCCTGCCCCATTCTGTCACAACTCTGCCTCTGCCCATCGATTCAGCACAGCAGGGCAGCCCACCAGGACTGAGCCCAGTTACAGAACCCTAGGGTCTTATACCCCCATTCCACAGGCGAGAAGCCTGAGACTCAGAAGGGAGCTCTCCCACTGAGGGGCAGAGAGGGGTGTATGCCTGAGGGGATCCTAGGACACTTCCTCCCACCACAGTAACTGAACTGACCCTGAGGAGCCCCATTCCACCCCACAGATTCCACCTACTTTGCTCCTTGCACATGTGACCCCCCCTCCCGCCGGCTCCATCCCAGTGTCTCCATGACCTATATAAGGGCTAGCTATGCCTCAATGGCCTACACATCTGCAACATACGCTTTATTTATGGTGTGGTGGTCACACCCAGCAGTGCTAGGCTCTGCACCCCTCACAGAGCTAGGAGGACCATATGATGACCTGGACTGAACCCAGGCCTCCCTCATGCAAAACTTTGAATCATCTCTCTGGCCAACATGCACTTTTAGAAACAATTTTAAAAAATAGCTCTCATTCTGTAAGTTCAAAGTTTAAAACTCAAGCTTTATTTCCCTTCCTATAACATCTTCTAAACCATGGCCTGTGCCAGGGAGGAAGGGGCCATCTTGCTTGATTCTGTGAGAAGATGCCTCATTCCAGCTGCTTGGACCATCCCCGCCTTCCCTTTCTGGAGGGTTGAGGCCCGTAGGGGGCCTAGCTGACATGTGAGTGATGGACAACAACCCCCATGAGTCTGAACCTGGTTCACCTGCCACTCCCTAAACTAACGGGGTTAAACTCCCAGCACTTCCATCAGGGAAGACAGTGACCAATCCAGAGACCCACTCAACTGCCCCTCACACACGCGTGAGGACCTGCCAACAAGGGACCCTGAGTGTGTGGCATAGGAGTCGTTTTCTTCTCTGCCCCTGTCTGCAGGCCCTGGACTGCAGCGGAGCACACCCAGTCTCCGCCCCGCCCCGCCCAAGGTTCCGCACCCGTTCAAGACTCCACCTGCTCAGGCTCCGCCCCCGACCAAGGCTCCTCCCCCAGCTAAGCTTCTGCCCGGGTTCATAGACTCTACCCCATCCCCAGACCTAGGCTCCGCCCCTCGCAGGCTTCACTCCCGCCCGGCCCCGCCCCCAGCTAAGCTTCTGCCCAGGTTCATAGACTCTACCCCTCCCCCAGACCTAGGCTCCGCCCCGCGTAGGCTCCGCCCCCGGCCACGGCCGCCCACAGCTAAGCTGCTCCTGCTCATAGACTCTCCCTTCCCCAGGCTCTGCCCGCAGTTAAGCGTCTGAGGGTTCATAGACTCTACCCCTAACTCAGACTTAGCCTCCGCCCCCGGCCACGGCTCCGCCCCTGATCTCAGGCTCCTCACCCGCCCTGCTCTGGTGGCCGCAGGCTCCGGCTCCCAGTCCCGCTCTCACCGTCTCTGCGTACACCACCACTTCGCCCTTGTGTAGCAGCTGCAGATTCTTGCTGTCCATCACGTTGCCCAGCCACATGCAGACTCGGAGGTAGCCCGGCATAGTGTCCCTTTGTTCTTTATCCTGGGGGTACTGAGGCAGATACATTTAATCCCCAGGGTGCAGGACCTGGGGGCAGCGGTGGGGGCCTCCAGCCCTCCCCCTGGGTCTCTCCCTGAGCCCCTGGAGCCGGGTGCTGGGGTGAAAGTTGGCTGCAGCGAGCCTACCTTCCAGCATACCTGAGAACTGGGGGGGGACGAGGACAGGGCCCCGAGCTAAGGGCCCAGTGCGCGTCTGCCTCTCACACCCCACCACGAGGGGGCGCGCTTCACCAGGCCCATTTTACAGCCGTGCACGCTGACCCCTGGGGGCAGGGACAGGGAAGGCCTGCCACAGTGGTGGAACTGGGGTCCAGGTCCTGGCGGTTCTTGTAAAACAAGCAGGACTCAGCTGTACTCCCGAGGGTTCTTCCACCGTGGGGCAAAGGGCAAACAGGTTTGGGGGGGGGGGGGGGTACTCCAGCCCTGCTTGGCCAGGAGGTAGTGCCTGAGAGGTAGCCCGGGCAGCTTCCCCGTGGGGGATGGCGTGTCCCCGACTCGCCTCCCTGGAACCCTCAGGCACAAATGGCTTTTATGTTACCCTGCCTGGTCCCCGGCGAGGTGACAAGTGACAGGAACCCTGCCTTGCTCTGGCGACTGGTGAACCCTCAGTTCATAGGACCCCGTGTGGGGGGGAGGTGCTGCTCCTTGGGGGTGTTTGTGGGTCTTTCCTCCCCGGAGGACCCCGCTTCCACACCTGCAGGAAAAGGTTCTGTGTCCTCCCGCAGAACCTGCCGGAGCGCCGCACTCCTGCTGGGGAGAAGAGGATGGAGTGTGCCGGCACCTGTGCGAAGGCCACGCGCTGCTCCTTGGACACCAGCCAGATCATCACGTCGGGGATGCTCTGCTGGGGCTGCGGGACGCATGTCAGGTGCTGCCAGGCCCGCAGGTCCTCAGGACACGCCCACCCGGCGCCCCGCTCGCACCTCGGGGAGCACACTGTTGAGGCGGAAGAGCCAGCCCTCCACGGTGGCCACCATGTCCTTGGGCTGGGCCATCATGCTCTTCTGAGCCAGCTCCTGCAAGAGGAGGCTCCGGAGCTGCCCTCTCTTCTTGTCCAGCTCCGTGCTTTTGGAGTAATGAGCCACATGGGGCAGTGGGTGCCTGTGGATGGCCAGGGAGGGGCTTGGACCTTGCCACAGCTCCCTCCTCTCCTCCTTGGGCCTCTCCTGAGATCAGCCCGGCCTCCTGAGCCTCCTTAGACCCCACCCTTCAGGGAACAGGCATGGGAGCCTGGTCCCTGGGTTCCCCTTCTGCCCCACAGGGGGCCAGACCTGTGCTAGGTCCTCCCTCTTGAGGAGGGTGAGACAGGAGACATGGGCCACCAAAGTGGAGGGTGGAGGGTAGGGTGAGAGGGGTGGGTTCCAGTGGAAGAGAGGCCTTCTGTACCACAGTCTTCTAGAGCAGACAGAGGGACAGAAGGGAGGGGCCCGGGTGGGCACTGGTCTAACAGAAAGGAGTGGAGGGGGTGGTTGGCCATTTCGTGCTCAGACTGCATTAAGGAAACTTTATGTGGTGCCAGGGAAGTTCACTAGGGTCAGTGATGCAAGGCGTATCCTTTATCCCCTGTAATATCTCTCCAGCCCATCAGCTCCTCTTTCTTTCCTTTCTTTGTTTCTTTGTTTGTTTGTTTTTGTGCCACATCCACCAGAGCTCGGGGCTTTGCACTCAGGAAAATATTCCTGGTGGTGCTCAGGGAACCTATGTGACACTGGGGATTGAACCCGGGATGACTACATACAAGGAAAATGCCCTACCTGCTATGCTATCCCTTTGGCCCCAGCTCCTCTTTTTTTTTTTTCTGTTTGGGTCACACCTGGCGATGCACAGGGGTTACCAGGGGTTACTCCTGGCTTTGCACTCAGGAGTTACTCCTCGCGGTGCTCAGGGGACCATAAGGAATGCTGGGAATCAAACCCGGATCGACCGCGTGCAAGGCAAACACCCTACCCGCTGTGCTATCTTTCCAGACCCCCAGCTCCTCTTTCTTGAGGCTGTGTCTGGGTGGCAGCGGGGAGGTGGGGTTCAATAGGGACCATCCTCAACCCCAGCCCAGCTCATCCCCATCCCAGATGCACCTCCCCACCCGACCCCTACTTGCAGTCCTCCTCCAGTTCCGCCAGCAGTTTCTTCCACTGGTAGAGCAGAGCTGGGTCTTTGGGGTTCCTTATGGACTTCAGGTTGTTCAGATTGGCTTTCTGTCCAGCAGGAGAGAAATAGCAATTGAACTCAGGATTCAGGAGATGGGTTTCAGGGCTGATTTGGTTTTTGTTTGTTTGTTTGTTTGTTTTTCAAGATGTTTTCAGCTCAGTCTTTGAGGGCAAGCACTGCGCGTCAGTGCAAAGCTGGTCCCAGACGCCCATCCTACCTACTCTCAACCACCAATTTTTAGTACTGGGTGACGGGGATGAAACCAGAAAACTGATTTCCAAAGAAATGAGGAGCTGAAATCAAAATTTTTTTAAAAAAGAAACTGTTCTTTTGGGCAAGGAATATTGTCCTTCCCTTCTCCCCTCCAAAACAAATAAACAAACAAAGATGAGGACAGATAGATCCTTACCCAGAAACTTTGTTTGAGGTTTGCAGATAAGCTGCAGCCTCATTGACCAACCCACAGGAGAATCTGTTGATCATTCTGGTGCATGCTAGCCTACAACTCAGCCTTCCCAAGACATGGCGTCCTCCTCACTTTCTCTCTACGAAAAGCTTCTTTTGATCATACAGGTGGTTTTATTGAGAACACAAGTCTGCCAGCTTATTACCAATTAGGCTCTTTCCCTACCTGTCACCCTGACAGTTCTCCAGCTCCCAGTGGGGACATTGGTGGCAGGCAGGAGCCAGAACAGGGCAGATGTGTGGTGGGACAGACTCCGGACCCTGTCCCATCTATACATTTGAGAAAGTTACCTGTGGCCTAACGTTGACCAGCAGCACCCGGAATACACAGACCTGTGCCATCTGTCCTGTCCCCTGTCTTCGAGTCACTTCCTACTGCCACCCTCCAACTTTGTACTACCCCAGGTTTCTTTGCACACTGTCCCCTTTTTTGCTCCCTGCTGGCCCCGATTCTGCTAGACTCTGCACCTGTTAAAACTTTTCTGACTGGCCTACTGCCCTTCTCCACGCTGTCTCCCTTCCCTGCACTTTCCCCCACTAACCTGCCTCTGCCCTGACTTCTCCAGGGTGGGCCCAGGGTGCTCCTCTCTTCTCTGTGGGGCTCCAGGCACCCACCCATTCAGTGGCCCATTGTGGTTGGGTTCTGAACCCCAGCTTCCCCTGCACTCAGCGACTCTCACTGGGTGTCCGAACCCCACTCCCCCTCCCTCTAATGTCTGCACCCGGCTCCCTCGCATCCACCCCGCTCACCAGGGTCTGCACCCGGCTCCCTTGTGAATCCACCCCCACTCACCAGGCGGTCCCGCACAAAATGGAGAAGGTTGAGGGTGCTCATCCGAAAGCTGTTGTCCTCCCAGAAGGAGGTCACTGCCACCACTGGCTTGGTGTTATACCAAGGCACGTAGTGGTAGAGAGTTCCTGGCACACAAACACACAATGGAGGTGTCTGAGGAGCTCTGGGCAACTCCCCTCCCCTGCGGCGGGTCCCCCTCCAGGGCTTGTCTACTTCCCAGGGCTGGTGGCAGGGTGGGCGCACGGTGCTGGCACTGACTCATCCTCCTCCGAGGGCCCACCGAGAGGGGGAGCACTGGGGCGCGCTGTGTCAGGAGCCTTGGGAAGTCCCCGGTTACAGGAGACAGGGGCTAGGGTCAGGCCTGATGGTGGGTCTCCCTCTGGGTGGTCTGAGGCACAGGAGCAACCCAGGGGGTGGTGGGGCAGGCCGATGTCTCACACAAAAGCCCTGTCATTCAGGGGCAGGGGGCCACAAGTGGGGTCAAAACCCAGTGGTCCAGGTTCCCGTGTTCCTGTCATACAGAGGATGGGGAAGGGCAGCAGAAACATGGTTCTAAGGACTGAGCAGAGGCTTTGCAGCCACGATACCCAGGTTCAATTCTAGCGGGGTCCCTCAAGCATCCCCAGGAACAATCAATGAGCACTGTGGCAGAGGCAAATTCCTGAGCACTGAACCAGGAGTAATCCATGAGCACTGTTCTGGGGTCAGTCCCCTGCAGGATATGACCCAAGATCCAACCCCTTACAAAGCAGAGTGGGGAGACAAAAGGAAACACGTTTTAGAGATGCATTGCTGAGCTGACAGAAAAGTTGATAAGAAGCAGAGTCTCCTACTTCTGAGGCATAGAATCTAAGTGAACCAGTCTTCTGAGTGCAGTTTGAGAAATTGTCTATTTCTCTCGGCAATTTTCTTGGGGCAAGGGGCAAAGGAGAAAGCCTGTCCCACACTGGACCATCTCGCAGAGAACCACATGGAGTGGGTTGGGTTAGGACCCTTTGCCAATGTATCTTATCCCCACGGCTCTCCAAGTACTTAGTGAGGAAAATGTCTGAGTGGACAACCCTGGTGCACTGCAGTACGCCTGACTGGTGTTCTTTCTGTTGGGTCTGGGATGGGGCTTGGGCCACACCTAGGTGCTCAGGGCTTATTCCTGGCTTTGGGCTCGGGGATCACTTTGGTGATGCTGCAGGGGAACAACCATTTAGAGTAGATGCTTCCTCAGCTCCCTCTGGCTTTTATTAGAAGATCTAGAAGAATCTAGAATATAGCTCAGAGAGATGGGAAAATATGGGAGTTTTTAAAATACAAAGAGTGGGTTTACTCTCCCATGTTCTCCCTTGAACATGTATCTTCACTTTCTTGTCTATGTTTCTTTGCTTGCTTTTTCCACTCTGGAGAGGCCTGTTTTCTCTCTCTAGCACATACTTTCCCTCTTTCTCTCCTCTCACATCTTTCTACACAAGTTTTGTTCAGTAGCAACTACCTTGCTTCACTAAAGTTAAATAGATTACAGAATGAGAAGCTCCCCAGAGGAGGGAGTGAATGAGAGCTATAGAAGGGCCTGGGAGAGATGTCAATCTCCAAGAGAAAACACAGTCTTTCAGACTTGTGAGGGGATGCTGGTTTTGGCACTGAGTGAATCCTGAGAATAATAAATAAGCAGTGACCCATGACCAGGGTTCTCAGATTTGAGCGTGGTCACGGCTATGAGACAAGTAATTTTCCTCTTCTCCCCTTGGACAGCATACAACAGCAACAAGAAGGAAAATAACCCCATTTTCAGCAAAACCAGGAGACTGATAAAATCTGCAACTCCAAACACTCGGAGGGACTGAGTGCCAAAAGCAACTCTGGCACAGAGGAGCTGAAGGGGTACAGCACAGCAGTCCCCGGGACAGGGAGGGTGGACAGATGGTGGGAAGCCGGCAGCTGGAAGCACGGCGTGGCAGGAGCAGACTGCAGCCTGTGCCAACCCAAACACACTCCCAGCATGCATTCAGCACTCACCAAGACACGGGAGCGGGTGAACCAAGGAGACAAACAGAAGCAAAAACAAAAATTCATAGATAGGAAGACAACAGAAAGCCCGCTGGGAGATTAAATCCTGCAGACAGTTCAGAGGCATATAACTGTAGCACTGTGGTACTGTCCTCCCGTTGTTCATCAATTTGCTCGAGCGGGCACCAGTAACATCTCACAACAAATTGCGGCATATTGAATACGTCACGAGGAGCTTGCCAGGCTTTGCAGTGCGGGTGAGATACTCTTGGTAGCTTTCCAGGCTCTCCGAAAGGGGCAGAGGAATCGAACCTGGGTTGACTGCATGCAAGGCAAATGCCCTATCCACTGTGCTATCGCTCCAGCCCAAGAGGCATAACAATAAGGCTTAAAAATAAGAAAACCAGGTTTGAGCCCTGGCACTGCGTGGTCCTCTGAGCACTTCCAGGAGCAACCTCACACCCCCCGCCCTCCTGAAAGGAGGACTGGAGAGAGCACTCAACAGACTGAGCATATGCTTTGCAGGCAGGAGACAGGTTTTCTCCCTGGTCCCACATAGTCCCCCCAAACACCACCAGAAGTAATCTCTGAGCAGCAAGCTGTGTGTGGGGGGGTATCTCTTGCATCACAATCACTAGTTAAGACCCTGCACTGTAGCAATGTAGCACTGTTGTCCAGTTGTTCATCGATTTGCTCGAGTGAGCACCAGTAACATCTCCATTGTGAGACTTGTTGTTACTGTTTTGGGCATATTGAATACACCACAGGGAGCTTGCCAGAATAAGGTTAAGACCCTAAAGTAAAAAAAAAAGAAAAAAAAAGGAAAGTGATTCCAAAATAAAATGAAAAAAGGTTTAGGAATATCTGACATAAAAGAGAACCAAGGAGAATTATGGGTGTGGAAGAGATAGGAGGGGAGAAACTTGAGACAGCAGGGAAGGTGAGGGAAGGTGCTTGTCTTGCACGCAACTGATCTGGGTTCAATCCCGGGCATCCCAGGCATCCCATAGAGTCCCCCAAACTCCCCAGGAGTGATCCCTGAGCACAGAGCCAGGAGTAAACCCTGAGCACTGCCAGGTATAGCCCAAATAAGAAAGAGAAGGGGGCCCTCTGGCTACTCAACAAGCTGCTTAAGCCATGATCCCAGAGACTCAGAAACAAATCTCGGAACCCAGCAGCTTTTGGCAGAAATCCCTCCAGATTTAATTATTAAGATTTCAGAATTCCAAAATTGCGTGGCTGCAACCGAGGCTGTGTGACATCATATTCTATTCATAATCAGCAATAGTAAACAAATTGTCTAACGTTGCCTTTTCGGCAGATCTCAGTGTTGGGGTAAAATCCCAAATAATGATGGTGGGTCTGGTGTCGAAATATTGAATGCAATCAAAGTAAAGAGAGAGTAATGTGGAAATAATTTGCCACACAGGTGGGGGGTGTGGGATGGGGGGTATACTGGGATTTTTGTTGGTAGAAAATGTACACTGGTGAAGGGACAGGTGTTTCATCATTGTATGACCGAGACTTAAACCCAAAAGCTTTGTAACTGTTCTCATAGTGATTCAATAAATAAATTTATTTAAAAATACATTTTATTGGAGCTGGAGCGATAGTACAGCGGATAGGGCATTTGCCTTGCACGTGACTGACCCGGGTTCATCCCATATGGTCCCCTGAACACTGCCAGGAGTAATTCCTGAGTGCAAAGCCAGGAGTAACTCCTGTGCATTGCCAGGTGTGACCCAAAAAGCAAAAAACAAACAAACAAACAAAAAAACCCACAAAAAACAAAAAAATGCACTTTTTAAAGAGTGAAAGTATTTCTGAGAAATAGCAGTGAGGAATTTTATTTAAAAAATTAATTAAAGAAAAAAAGAAAGAGAGGAGGGGGGAGACAGACAGAGAGAGAGAGAGAGAGAGAGAGAGAGAGAGAGAGAGAGAGAGAAACATGAAGCCCATAAATAGCAGCCCTCAAATAGAACACCCACACAAGGAAACCAAAGACTTGAAAGTCTATTCTGAGAGACTGGGGCATGGCTCAGAGGTAGAGCCCGCCTGGCAGGTGTGTGGTGGAGAGTCAGGTCCCTGTGACCACCCCTTGTCCCCAGTGCGATCTCTGGCAGCTCTGCCATTGGCATCCACAGTGCCCAAACAGTGAGCTATCTCCAGTGCCTGCTACCCACCAAGTGTGGGACCCCTGGATATTGCTACAACAAAGGGAAGGGAAAGGGAAGAATATATTGAGAAAATTCCTGCAAGGGGTCCTTGAGCATTGAGCCAAGATTAAGCCCTGAGCACTGCCAGATGTGGCCCAACCTACACACACCCACCAAGAAAAATTAAAAATACTTTCTTTAGAGCTATAGTAATTAAGACAGTTAATGTTGGCATAAAGATAGAAAAATATTCAACAGGACACTGCTAAAAGGAGACCCGCAAAGTATACTTAATTGGTTCCAGCAAGGCTGTCAAAGTAATTCAATGTGGCCATTGACAGTCTCTTCTGAATACAGTGTTGAATTTAATAGCTGTATATATTAAAAAAATACTCATCCTTTTCTCACATTGCATGTAAAAATGAAGACAAATCATGTTAAATCATAAATCTAGATAAAGAAGCTAAAAATACAAATGTTTTGTTTTGTTTTGGGGTCAAATCAAAGAGTGCTCAGGGGCCACGTTTGGCTCAGTGCTCAAGCCTTGCAGTGGTTGAGAACATACAGTGTGAGGAATTGAGCCTAAGCCCGTGGCATGAGGGAAAAGCATGCCCTTAGTTGTCGTGTTATATCTCTGGCCCCTAGAAGGATAAATCTTATTAATGAAAGAGGAAAATATCCTCATGATCTTGGGACAGATGAATATTTCTTAGAATTTATGATGTCCAAGTGATGGAAGGAAATATCTATAACAAATTGAATCCATCAAAATTAGAAACTTTTGTTTGTTTTTTGGGTCATACCCAGCGATGCACAGGGGTTACTCCTGGCTTTGCACTCAGGAATTACTCCTGGCGGTTCTCAGGGGACTATATGGGATGCTGGGAATTGAACCCAGGACAGCCGCGTGCAAGGCAAATGCCCTACCCACTGTACTATTGCTCCAGTCCCAAAATTAGAAACTTTTTATC